AAATTCCTGAATTACTGCCAAAGAGCTACAATCCTAATGCATTTCATCCAATCAGAACCATGGCTGCCACCATGGAAATGTTACTAAAACAAAAACCGTAGACCAGGAGTGTCCATCTGTCTGCTGGTTGTCTAAAGGCTCGTGCAGACTACACGAATTTAGTGTCGGACTACACAACTTGCCGTCTTGTGACAGGAGTCTTGAAGTCGTTGTGGCGTTTACACTACAGGAGCTGACAACGACTCTGTCACCCAATGCTGGTCTCCAAACCACGTTTAGTCAAGAAAACACATGTGAAACGGGAAATGACGCGAACCTACACACCAAACAGCTGTTGTTTGTTATTATAAAGATACCAATTATAAAGACAAAGAATCTGGGTGAAAGAAAGGATTAGCACAGGCAGGTAGCAGGGATTGTCTGAGCTACAGAGAGAGCTGGAGGTCAGTAAAAAGTGTTTTGCAGTGAAAAGTAGCTGCCTGCTCTCATTGGCTGGATGTGGATGTCGAGTCGGCCGACTCCTCCAGATATTTGACATGCTAGATATCTGGCTGCCATAGGCGATGTGTCTGAAATGTGTCGGGGAGCCATTTTGATGGGTCGGTGAGTAGTTCACACATAACGACTGGTGACTGCCGATCGATCGCTGATTTAATAGGGGTGGGAATCGCAGGGTACCTCACGATACGATACGATACATGATACATCGCTCATGATAACGCTAATATCACGATACAACAATTCTGTGATAATTGATATCCTAAAGTGATACATCACGATATCTGTCTATTAATACAAAATGCCTGTGAAAAAGTTTACTATTTATTTGCTGCAAATCTGAACTGTTAGAAAACAGCACAATTCTGCTCAGTCTGTAAATAAAACTACAGAGCAACTATGAAAAATTATCAAAACATTTGTTTATAAAAAAGGCACATAAAATGCAAATTCGCTTAATTTTTTACTGCAAATACAAATTGCTATGTAGCACCTAAGTCTAATCTGTACATCACATTATATTAATAACTGGTCAGTGACACAGCGTTGTGCTGCCCTTTCTCTTCCTACTGATAGGAATACATCAATGTAAACCCTGCTACTGCTAATTGACTGAAGCTAAGTAGGTTTGGGCTTGGCCAGTACCTGGATGGGAGACCTCCTGCGAAAACTAAGTTGCAGCTGGAAGTGATGTTGGTGTGCCAGTAGGAGGCAGTCTTCCCTCTAGTCCTATTAATAGTGGTGAGCATTCTGCCGCTAAATGGCTGCCGTGCATCACCCAGGTGGGTGCCACACATTGGTGGTGGTCCCCCCCCGCTTCACTGTGTAGCACTTTGAGTATCTATGATAAATCGCCATACAGGTGAAACTTGAAAAATTTGCATATCGTGCAAAAGTTAATTTATTTCAGTAATTCAACTTAAAAGGTGAAACTAATATATTATATAGACTCATTACATGCAAAGTGAGATATTTCAAGCCTTTATTTGATATAATTTTGATGAGAAAATTAGAATATTGTGAAAAGGTTCAGTATTGTAGGCTCAAAGTGTCACACTCTAATCAGCTAATTAATCTAAAACACCTGCAAAGGGTTCCGGAGCCTTTAATTGGTCTCTCAGTCTGGTTCAGTGGAATTCACAATCATGGGGAAGACTGCTGACCTGACAGTTGTGCAGAAAACCATCATTGACACCCTCCACAAGGAGGGAAAGCCTCAAAAGGTAATTGCAAAAGAAGTTGGATGTTCTCAAAGTGCTGTATCAAGGCACATTAACAGAAAGTTGGAAGGGAAAAGTGTGGAAGAAAAAGGTGCACAAGCAGCAGGGATGACCGTAGCCTGGAGAGGATTGTCAGGAAAAGGCCATTCAAATGTGTGGGGGAGCTTCACAAGGAGTGGACTGAGGCTGGAGTTACTGCATCAAGAGCCCCCACACACAGACGGGTCCAGGACATGGGCTTCAAATGTCGTATTCCTCTTGTCAAGCCGCTCCTGAACAACAAACAACGTCAGAAGCGTCTTACCTGGGCTAAAGAAAACAAGAACTGGTCTGTTTCTCAGTGGTCCAAAGTCCTCTTTTCTGATGAGAGCAAAATCTCATTTGGAAACCAAGGTCCCAGAGTCTGGAGGAAGAGAGGAGAGACACACAATCCAAGATGCTTGAAGTCCAGTGTGAAGTTTCCACAGTCTGTGTTGGTTTGGGGGGCCATGTCATCTGCTGGTGTTGGTCCACTGTGCTTTATTAAGTCCAGAGTCAGCGCAGCCGTCTACCAGGACATTTTAGAGCACTTTATGTTTCCTTCAGCAGACGAGCTTTATGGAGATGCTGGCTTCATTTTCCAGCAGGACTTGGCACCTGCCCACACTGCCAAAAGTACCTAAACCTGGTTAAGTGACCATGGGATTACTGTGCTTAATTGGCCAGCAAACTCGCCTGACCTGAACCAAGAGAAAGATGAAAGACATGAGACTGAACAATGCAGAAGAGCTGAAGGCCGCTAAGCATCCTGGTCTTCCAGAACACCTCAGCAGTGCCACAGGCTGATAGCATCCATGCCACGCCGCATTGAGGCAGTAATTCATGCAAAAGGGGCCCAAACCAAGTACTGAGTACATATGCATGATTATACTTTTCAGAGGGCTGACATTTCTGTATTTAAAATCCTTTTTTTTTTTTTTTTTTTTGTTATTGATTTCATGTAATATTCTAATTTTCAGAGATTTTGAATTTGGGGTTTTCATAAGCTGCACGCAATCATCGAAATTATATCAAATAAAGGCTTGAAATATCTCACTTTGCATGTAATGAGTCTATATAATATATTATTTTCACCTTTTCAGTTGAATTACTGAAATAAATGAACTTTTGCACGATATTCTAATTGTTCGAGTTTCACCTGTATAAATGTAATTCATTATTATTATTATAGCTGTATTTGGGTCCAACTGCAGACCTCCACTGTCAGGCCAGTCAGGACAGGAAATAATGCAAAAACTACAAAATAAAAGCATGCAATTTGACAGGAACGCATAAAAAAATTATACAGTTTAATCATGTAGACATAGGGGAAGGATTTTTTGTCGTTGATTTATATTATTTAGTCAACATTGTAATGGGAAACTAGCACGCTAATTCCTTATAGCATATTGATTTGAGCCAATTCTACTTAGCACTTAACATGCCAATGTAGCAACAAAGCCCACTGTATATCGCTTTAATCATTCAACTAGTAACAGTATCTTTTTTTTTTTTTTAAACAGGCACTATTTATTCTGTCAAAATACGATGTTAATTCCGTCCATACAGCCACATCCATTCACAGAAAAACATCTTGTTTTTAACTTGTAACTTCCAGTCATCCTTTACTGCAATCAGCTGAATTTAAAAGGAAAAATGGACAACTGTGGAAACTGGACTACAATTTCAGCTTTATGGGAGCCTGTGGTATAACGAACGTTACCGGCGGGGTTTAATAAATCAATAATAGAAGGCTGGACAGAGACTTCATTGCTCATTACGTGGTCAACACTTTCTCTCCCACACAGCAGCCCAGATGTGTGTGATACTGCAACAAAGTTTAAGTTTTAAAAGCATGAAATAAACCAACAAAGACTACTGCTCAAGGTGTGTTTATTTTAGTGTGTGTATCTTATTAATATAATGTTCATTTGTGATTAAAAATAATGGTTGTTGGTAAATTAATTACTGACCCCCACAGATGCATGATTAAGAGCTCAGACCCTCCTTATGGACCATAAGTAGAACCCTGCTGGACTATGTGGACTATCAAATTGTACAATCCATAAAAATGAACACACATGCAATACAACATGTATACCTGTATCGATAATTTTGTAAATATCCACTTTTTAAAAATGAATGGAGTCAATAGCCTACTGTACTATAATATACTATAATACTTTTACTTTATTCACTGTACACACACAGATTACACAGTTAGAAAAGGAGTTGGCAGCAGTGACTGATTTGCATTATCCAAAACATTACAAAAAGAGTCTGAATGCATGGGTCTTGGCATGTTCCATCAAAATATCTACCACTATCAATATTTGTACATCTAAATCACACAAATTAGGATATGCCAACACTGGCTGTGGTGAGGAGTAGTATCTTTATGTGGATAACTATTTAAATAACCATGTGTGTCAAATATCTCACTGCTCCAAAACAGCTGATTCAAACTATCAACTCGTTATGAATCCTGAAGCTGCTTCAATCAGCTGTGTTGAAGCAGGGACAGATTAAATCATGCAGGACAGGGGGTGACTTTCTTCAGGAAAGGGTTGGGAAACACTGTCGTAGTACCTAAACTTCAATTCAACTAAGATCAATTCATACAGCCAGCAAAGTCTTTGCACACTGTTTAACGTCAAGTGTGAAAAGCTACACCGAATGGTCTAAACGATACAGATTTTTATTTTATCTTCTTTTGGACCAATAACTAAGCAGAGTAGCAGATCAAGACAGTGAAGTTAGCAGCTCTTGTTTATTTCACACAGAGCTCAGGAAACATGTACATATTTGTACAGTCCGCCACTCAGGATGTTCAGCACGTGAACCAAACGTGTAGTTTATGTTAATATTGTATTTTCACGATCGCGATGCTAATGTCCGTTAGCACGTTAATAGAGATTCCCATTATATGTTAGTATTGAGCTAACTGTTGAAGCGCTTTTTTGTATTAATATTATGTATCGATATGATGGGCTCGAATATTGATACAGTATTATGGAAAAATGTACAACGATATTGCCGTATTGATTTATTGTCACACCCCTATGATTTACCCTGATCACAGCCCGATGGTCACCGAGCTCGGCAACTGTAGGGTAACATATATAATGTATATAAGCCACAGATGGTTGTGTGTCAGTCATATTATTTGGATGAACATTACTCCATTCACTATACCCTTCATCCTTCCCTCTCCTTCAACAGCTGCAGTTTTTGGGTTTAATTTGACTCTGCTTCGTTTCTTACCCGATGACAGTCTCCTCCAGATAGCACCTCCTGGATGAAGACCGCGGGGCCGTCTGGCCTGTTGGAGCCTCCTCCCAGGATGATGCCCAAACTGCTAGACCGCGCCACTGAAATGAGCTGAATCACTCCTTCCCCTGGATGACTGAGAATACAAAGACACATGCTTTGAAGTTAAGAAAATTGGCTCTATTTTTGTTAATGAATGCATGAATGAAAACTATTTATGTAAAAAATTACAACTGTGGACCCTATTATTGTAAAATGTAACTAGATCATGGATCAGAGGTGCACCATTTGTGCTGCACTGTCAATCTTTTCTGAGCGCCACGTGATGTACGGTGTGTCATGATTTGGAGTTTTTATTTTGAATGTCCTGTCCTTCCTTTTGTGCCTTTGTTTACTTCAGTTTGTGTACCCTGCTAGCACCGTCTATGATGGTATGAACTATCCAGTCTTGGACCCAGTGGACCCAATATCTGATAGATGTGATTATTACTCTCAGGCACATGAATATTTGGAGGAATGGGCCTGAGAACAGACAGGCTGCTCTGAATATAGTACAGGAAGAGCAGATGCCCACCTCCTTGTCACCTCTCTCCGGTGCTGCAGAGCTGCCTAGTGACCCAGAGACTTTGCCGTCCAGTGTCACAAAGACTCAGCTGTCAAGCATCAAGAAACTCATATGTTCAGCATCACAGAGACTTAGCTGCCCAGCGCCACAGAGCTGCCATCAACCCAGCCAGCAGCCTCCTGTTCCCGCTGAGCTGCAGCAATCTTCCGTGCCCATGCTCAGCAGGGTCCGGAGACTGTTGCTGCAGCTGAGTAGGAACAGGAGACAGCCGCAGCAACAGTCTCCGGACCCTGCTGAGTTGCTGCTGTAGCACCCCTCTGTTCCCTCTGAGCTGCAGCAATGTCCTGCTGCTGGGTTGTGGCCACCCCCTGTTGCTGTTGGGCTGCAGTAATCTCCACTTCCTGAGCTGTAGCAACTCCCTCCTGCCGAGCTGCAGCAACCCCCTGCTCCTGAGATGTATCTGTTTCTAGGTTCCAGTGCTGCTCTGTCATCTGTCTCCTGGTCTGCTCTACAGCCGCCGGACTCCTATGCGTTCCAGCCGCCTGACTACTGCGCTGCACTCCAGTCGCCCGACTCCCGCTCTGCACTCCTGCTGCATTATCCTCTGGGGCCAGCTGCCTTTTCTGACCTTCAGCCTCGTTGCCAGTCTCTAGAGTGATCTCCTCTTTGCCGGCAGCCTTCAGAGTTTTTTCCCCCCATTTGTTGCCTGCCTTCTGATGGGTACCGCCTTTGTCGTCAGCCTCCTGAGGGGTATCGCCTTCGCCACCGACCTCCAAAGGGGTACCGCCTATACAGCCGGCCCAGCCTCAGCCTCTCTACCCTGCCTCCTGATTACCCACTGGGCTGACTCTATCCTTGGGTCCTGCGTCCTGGTCATACTCGACCTGCTCTGAGGTTTCCAGCTCTACTTCTGCTCCGCCCCTGTCCATCTGTCTGGCCATTTGCCTGGGAGCACCAGCTCCTTTCTGCAGCTTCCCGGACACTTTGGATTTAATTTCTTGCCTGTGGGATTAGTTTGCCTGTGTTGGATTCCTTAACCTGGTTATGATCCTTGTCTACCTCACTACACTGTGAGCCTTTTGTCCCTGTTTAATTCTTCATTAAATCTTTGAACTGCACCTGCTTTGCCTTCTGGTGTTTGCTTTAAGGCCCAATCCTTTGTGTAGTCACCAAAATACCAAACTGCCACGTGACCAGTGCAGCGCCATGCTTTGTACTCCGGTTCCTTTATTATTACATATTATTAAGTTAGTTCATTTCTGCAATAGTTTAGACAGGCTTAAGTTTTTGCTTCTGCTGATTTTAGCTTTCATTGCTGCTGTACTGAAATTTTCCATTATACCACTCTCAATAGTTCTACATGCTTATTGAACCACTATTTTTTATGACTACATGTCCTTCTTTAAGTGGGTAGACAGTCTAGCCTATTCAGTCTCGCAACAATGGGAGAACAAAATGTGATGTGAATCCTGTATAGACAAATCTTACCTGAGAGAGCGAAGCATGGGCCCACTGTTGTTGTACATGTTCTGTGAGCCTGCTGGGCTCAACAACAAAGGACTCTGGGAGCGAGACGAGGAACCAGATGATGTACTATCCAGGTAGCGGCCTCCTTTGGAATAGCAAGAAAGAACAAAGGACAAAACACAAAAAAGATAGACAATTCCAGATTAAGAAATTATTGAGATGAGGGGTAGTAAGCAAATATGATGGTCTCTTGATATGTGTTTTATAAAGAGAGTAGTGCAGGCAATAAACTATTCACACATTTCAGGCATAAAGGTATGAAACAGAAGCCTTAAACAAATTTCTGCTGCTACAGATGGCTCCAGTGGCCACTGACATCCTGTATCGTCCTGTTAAAAATTAAACCTAAGCAATTCTCAGCATTGGATAATACCCAGTATTGCTGACCAATCTAACTGCCCAAATATCCTCCAGACTTGTTTTTTTTATATCTACTGCCTGGGGTAAACACCTTCTTATTTCCTTTCCACAGGTTCAAAAGGTAAATCTCATAGTAGGGAGGTGATTCATGCTAAAATTAAGTAGTATACAAATGTCATGGAGTCGTTGATACAATGAGTTGAAAAGACTTTGTTGTATTACACACATAGCTCTTGCTTTTTAGTAAGAAAATGGTGGGAAAGTACAACAACATGGAAGAACTTTCTCAAACATTCTGTCATTATGTGTTATATTATGAATAAAGAGTTTTATATTCCAAATGGATTAAAATTTTAGCATTTTGTAGTGCTTTTTTTGTTGGAGGAAATGGTAATGTCTTCATGTGTCCTATCAGCCAATTACATGGGTCATTCAGTTCATAACATGCCAGCTGACAAAGAGCACAATTCTCTACACTTTCTAACATTTTCATTTACTTCACCTTGGCAGGAGCTGAGTAGAGACTGTAGTACGTAAACTCCATCAACAACATGTGATGTGATTTTCCAGTGACATGAGAGTATATTTTTAGAGGTGGTACCAAGTTTGTTTTGCAAGTCTTAAGTGTTAAGACTAACAAGTCCTAAGTCTAGTACGTGGTAAATGGTCTGTACTTGTATTGCGCCTTTCTAGTCTTTTCAACCATGCAAAGCGCTTTACACTACATAAGGGGTTCTTAACCTTTCTGGCAGTCCGACCCCTTTTTGAGGTTGAAAATATTCCGCCAAAATTCAACCAAAAAAAGGCATTGCTGTGCGCCTCGTGTTTTCGAACCTGCAAAGCGCTTTCTGTCTGATCGGGTCCACCCAAGCTGATTCCATTCACAACTATAATCCATCTATCATTTTTGTGTGTCGATAGTAGCATTTTCGTGACCCTCATGGGAGAGTCCCGACCCCCAGGTTAAGAACCACTGCACTACAACATTCACACACATTGATACATTTACTCAATCATACACATCCACATACCAATGTCACAGCCATTGGGAGCTATTTAGGGTACACTTTGACATGCAGGCTGGGGGAGCCAGGGATCAAACCACCGACCTTCTGATAAGTGGATGGCCGCTCTACCCCCTGAGCCCCTGTAGTACAAGTTCCTACGTCTAGTCCTAAGTATAGACCAACAAGTCTGGACTCAAGTCAAGGCTAAGTCCTTAGTCAGTAGTCATTGGTGTTAACGGTCTCTGATGATCCTGTTGGTCTTCTTCCTGCACCGTTGGGAAAAGAGTTCCTTCATGGATGGAAGCTCCATCTTGGTGATGTGCTGTGTATAAGTTGTGTCCTGGAGTCCATGTTGAGCCTTCTCAACTTGCAGAGGAAAAAGAGCCACTTTGCTGTGATGGTGTCAATGTTCTAAGACCAGGTCAGGTCCTTGGTGATGTGAACCCCAAGGAACCTGAAGCTGTTGACTCTCTTCACCATAGTCCTGTTGATGGTGATGGGTGTGTCCTTCACTCTGTCACGTCCTATAGTCCACAATCAGCTACTTTGTTTTTACTGATGTTGAGATAGAGGTTGTTATCCTGGCACCAAGATCTCAAGCTAATAACAGTCTTCTTACATTGACAGTTGTCAAGCTGTGGTTGGCCGCACAGTCATGCGTGAAGAAGGAGTACTGGAAAGGGCTAAGCATACAGTTATGGAGGGGCACCAGTTTTGACAGTCAGGGTGGAGGATGTGGTGCTGCCTATTCTCACAGCCTGGGGTCTGCCCGTCAGGAAGTTTAGGATCCAGTCACAGAGGGTGGTGTTGAGTCCCAGATCTCTGTTCTTTAGTTCTTTTTTAAATGCACAACAATTACAGTGAAGCAGTTATTGGCAACAAAATTTGGCAACAACTCCCTTCAACATGTTCAAACAATATGTATAAAAGGAAAATCAGTCAAGTAAAAAGAAAGACAAACAAAACAAGACATGAACAGCATTTTCACATGTGTTCCTCTGGTCCAGAGGGTCGTGTGGAAGGCTAGGGTGAAGGCATCATCCATTGATCTGTCTGGTCTGAATGCAAATTGCAGTGGGTCCAGTGAGTCAGGGAGGGAGGAGGTGATGAAGGTTTTGACCTACCGCTCAAAGCACTTTATGATGGTGGGGGTGAGTGCTGCTGGGCGGTAGTCATTCAGGCATTGGGCACTGATCTTATTGGGGAAAGGGACAATGGTAGATTTTCTTAAAAGACACCCGCCAGTTGATCTGCACACATCTTGAGAGCTCAACCAGAGATGCCATCAGATTCAGGTACCTTGTGTGAATTGATTCTTTTTGAAGGATGTTGCGTGGATTAGTTCTTCTGAAGGATCAGCAGAATCGGCTGGTTTTCCTTTAGTGGACCCAGCTGTACGGAGGTGAGAAAGGAGCCAGGGTTTGAACTTCTCTCTTAAGCTCTTTTTACAGAACTATTTCTGTCACTTTGCATGTGCACAATGAATGCCCCCCAGGAGAGACTGAAATGTCAGAAATTGTGTGCCCCACAACAATTATTGTATTGGTCAGACAACTCGTCATACTAATGAATTATTTTTTAAGCATAAACCAATGTATTTTATTACCTTGAGATGTTCAAGTGTATGGACAGCCAAGCACAGTAACAGTGTTTTTACCATACTGTAAATGTGACAGATTTTCACTATAGGCTATATCAACAGGATGGCCTTAAATCCATGTATCCTCATTCTGGTGCTAACGTACCTTCATGTATCAACATCCTCTAAACAGAGCACACAAGACTGCTCACGTGCTGAAGCCATGTTTTAACAAATCTGTACCAGCTGGCTGCCTCCTTCCCAACTGAGACAGATGTTGGCAATTGTGTAATGTGCACTTGTCATAAGCCATTTTTAAGGGCAGACTTACTCCATCTACCCTTCAGGCTTAGTAGCCTACTTTGTCAAATATATATTTTTTTCCCCCCAATTGTTTTAAACATAGAACTGTACACAGACATCATGCCGTTTAGGCATTTTGTGACATAGAATTGGTAAAGTACTGTTTGTACAGGAGCGAGAACATGGAAAATAAGTGTCACATATATTTACATGAGCAGGAGCAGGAGATATTTACAGTTACTGCTTGTGGAAAAAACTGAAGGTGTAAGGCATCATACAAAAGACTAAAAAGGGATGTGCCTACCTTGCTGGATGGGAGAGTTGCGTGTTGATCCTGTACTACCATTAGACCCATACTTCTCCAGCAACTCAGCAAATTCTCTCCTATTAAGGGAAAACAAAAGAGAGACATTATTGGGATAAGAGTTTGTCATGATGGAAAGATGTACTCAAGGCGTTTTATTGACCGAGACACTGTCTGAACCAGAACTAAAATTGAGTTGATACCTACCAATAAATCTATTGATTTACTGAATTGTATTTGGGTTTAGTGAACAAAGGGAAAAGTTAAATGACTAATTACAATATACAACATTTTAAATAATTACAGTGGTTATATTTCGAATCTTCAGAATTCAGCCAAAGTTCATAGACATGGTTCTTTTGGATCTAAAACCTTTCAGTGTTTTAGGAACAAACATCTGGAACAACTGACCATACCATGTCAGATACCCTGAATATGTTGTAACTCATGGTTTTGGGCAGGCCATGAAAGCTATTAAATAAGTTATGGTAACTTTTAGTGTTATCCCATGTTGTGCTTCGTGTGTATGCTTAACATCGTGTTTGTTTTACATGCTATTTATTAGGGGTGTAATGATCCACCAAATCTACGGTTCCGTTCATACCTCGTTTTTTCCCCAGTTAGTTTTTTTCGGGGGGAGGGGGCATCATTATTATTAGTATAGTTTTGGGTGGGTTAAAGTAGTCTTATAGGCATGATCAGTCATTCATAACTTGACCAAAATAGTGACGTGACCGACACAGTTGGAAGACAATAAAATAGGTTTATGGTAATTATAGGCCTACAGTTTGTGCTAACTTTAAATACAGTGTTTTCGACATATACTTTACTTGGGTGGCCTGCACAGTTATATTAACAGCTGCCCAAGTATATTTGCCGACCCGTTATTATGTTACAAGACGTGAACACTGGATATTTTACAAGCATGGCGCGAAAGTGAACACACCAGTGCAGATGTCATTCAGTTGCGCACTGGTTTCTAACCACATGCGGCACAGCTGAAAATGGAATCGCAGGTGAGAGGGCAAGTACCACGTTGCTCTGGTGAGAGGGCAAGTACCACGTTGCTCTGGTGAGCAGCGGAGCTGTGTGTCGAAGGGAAGGGAGCAGATATTAATGAAGCTGCAGTAAACATCACAATCTGATGATCTGTTTCTATGATGACAAGCAGCCAAGTGTCCCAGTTACACCATTGAAAATGCCCAAAGCCACAGCCTACATGGCTTCACTCAGTAGAGGCGAAAGTGGCTGCTTTTAAATGAGTCACTCTCCCTAATCAATCACTGTGCTTCAGAGTTCAGAGATCAGTTGAGCACAACCAATACAAAATAGCTTGGATGTTTGCTGCCCAATATACTGCAAATTGGGTAAGGGCATCCCCCCAGAGGGTTCTGCAATATTTGTTAGGTAGCTTGGTAGCCTTTTAGTTCTAGATAAATTCTAGCACTAGGGTGAAATTCGGGTAATATATTAATTTTGATAAAGTTAATCCAGCCAGCTAGAGACTGAGGGAGGATAGACCAATGAGCACAAAACTTCACAGGTTCATAGGGAAACAATACATACAGACTGGAAATGATGTATCTGCTTCCTGTTTTTGCCATCATATTGTGTTGTAGATGATCTACAACACAATATGCCCTGTGGATGATGATTTCAATGTGGCGTTTCTAAGCAGATTATGGTAAGCGGTCATATTGGCTCCACAGTAAATAAGGACACAAATTGTTCTTGAACAGCACAAAAAATGACCACAACCTGCACCTCTGTCATAAACAGCAGCAACAGATGATTGGTTTAAAAGGTGCCACCAACAGGGCCAGTTCACTCATTTCACACTGGGCATAATCAAAACAATAAAGCAATCTTTAAAATCTGACAACTGTCACACTTATTCTTTTGATCATGATGCTGTTTGCTGCTGGTCCTGATCCTACCTGTTAATATAAATGTGTGTATAAATGAGCTGTTCTGTAAGTGTGTGTTGTCTGTATTTGCTCTTAACCAATTGACCTCTGTGGGACTAATAAAGATGTTGAACATGAACACCACCACCCCCAGCATTTTTGTGCATGTTGAGTGTTCCATGACTCAATTATATGCCTGTGACACATGTATTAGCGCATTAGACATTAACCTGCATTAAAAGCATTTTAGAGTACTTATATCTTTCTAAATCCCTCTTGTTTTTCCTCTTGTAATACGTTAAAATATTTTCTGAAGTCATCTTTCACTCGGTGTGTTTACATGATTCTATTCAATCAAATGTAATTTAGGGCAACGAGCTAACCCCGCCAATCATATACAACTGCTACTGACCTTGTCTGCTAGTGTATTGTTGCAGCTACTTTAGAGATGAGTGTTAGAAAATCAGTTGGTAAAAAATTATTTTTATATTTTACAAAGACAACATGGCTGACATCTAATTTATAAGGTTCTCACTCATTCTGAATCTCTTGATTACAAGGCAGATGACAGACGTGTGCGTGAAGGATGTAGAAAAGGTGGTGTCCCACTGCTATGGCTTTTCAGAGAATCATACTCACTAACTAACACCCACATTTGAGTAATCAAATGAAATCCCTGAACAATTTGCCAGTGGTAATTACTGTATACCCATACCACATATTCATTTCACTCAGAAATACATCACATTATAGAAGCTAAAGATGCTCTAACTGTAGTTTTACTGGGCCTAACCAATTTGTTAAATGCATTTTTTTTTTTTTTTACCGTATCTCATTAAACAGGGCAAATGTCAGCACAAATACCAGATTAAATGATTCCACCAAGGGGACTGGTATTGCCACCCTCTGCAGTCAGCACAAACTGCACAAATTGCATCACATGCATGTCTTCATGCATGTGCTGACAGAACTCGTAATCATATAATCATGAACACATTGCTCTATAGATACACTATTGTTCGAAACACCTGGAATGTTGTGATCGCTGGAAATGAAAAGAAACATGATTTAACATTGTCTATGGTTAAAGCCGACATACAGCACATAGACATACTGTAAAATTGCAAGACAGTGACTTTGCCAAGCTACCATCAGCGTTTCCAGGTGCGTACAACTGATAATAGACAGTTGTATTTCTGTAAAAACTATTATGCATTCAATTCCACAATGCAGAACAGAGTTTGCAATATACTTTATATGAATCTGTGACAAAGAACTGTGCTGTGGTTCACAGTACATGGGATTACCAAGCTGGCATTCATTTTATAGGCAACAGGGTACACTATGCATCCTAGAATGGAAGCAAATAGGTTAGAGGTGAAAGATATTTGTACTATCAACCATACCAAACAAAACAGTTGATATACCACATGTGTATGGCATTATATTGGTGTCTCAATACTGAGAGAACGATGGGACATTTTGAGAACTAAAAAAGATTTTTTGCATGCCTGTACATCTCTGCTGACAGCTCATGAGACAGCCACGTTCACTACCGTAAAACGTTTGACTCTGCCTTTATTTGGGACAGGCGTCCATATGGGACAGGCCTTTAATTCCTCTTGCACAAAACTGAAATAGGCTACTATGAAACTATTTATTTATTTCAAACAGAATATTACTTGTATAAAAATCATCCAATAATATCAAATACACGTCATTCATTTGATCCAGCTCTGACAGACGGGGTCTGTCTGGACGGCTTATGTGCTTTTATTTTTAAGGCAGCAACATAACGAAAACAACAACATAGTGCAGGATGATAAAAGTGTGGCAGAAGTTAGCAGACAGAGAGCACTTTTTATGAAAAGCTGTCTGGACTCTTTTGATGGGTGGACCCTTACAGACTGAAGGAATATAAATAATCAAGGAACGGACACATTCGGCACTTTTGTTTTTCTTTTCATCTTTTGTACCATGCAGGTTACACTGTTCGTTGTTTCCGTTAAATGAACTGAACGATTGAATTGTAGAGAATCTAACCGATCTAACGATGTGCAGCATGTCCATACTGACATATTGATCATACGTTTAAACATTAATATGTAGCATATTGACATTATTGCACATTTTCAGTTTTTTATTATTATTGTACAATACATATGTATTACACCTGGCAACACTGACACAATTTGTCAAATATCTGTGTAACGCCTGTCACCAATATGGGTAGAATTTGAAAATGTTGGATAAAAGATACAGACTGGCAGACATCTAAACATTCGGCTAGTTTCTAGAACTTATTTATTGCTGATCTTACTAGTATGTATTGTCAGTTGTAGATCTCTTGCTGTATTTGATGCTTTGTCGATGCTTGTATGTTGTTCCTCAAATGTAAGTTGCTTTGGATAAAAGCCCTTTTGTTAAAAGTAGGCTTTCCTGAAGTAACGTGATTTGATTTTCAATAAAATTATATATTTTTCACAGCAGGTAAGCATGAAGCTATTGCTAAGCTAGTTTGACTTGTTTTTAAAGGAAGGGAATCTGTTGTGGGGCAGACAGAAAGGCATAATCCCCCTCCTCTCATCCCCTCCAGCTCCTCTGGGCTGCAGGGTAGTTAAAGCACAGAGCACAGATTAACACACGAGGCTCATCTCGTCAGAAGCACTGCCCTAGGTTAAGCTCTTTTCCCTCTCTTAGTCTGCTGTCATTCTACCTTAGCACTGGCACCCCTTGAGAATCCATCACTACATAAGAGTAATAATCACCTCATAACTACACTTCACATGGCATTCATGTTTTAACCTATATAAATCTAAAGATGTCACTTTGCCTCACATTCATGAAGTTCTACATATTCATCCTATGATCTGCCCAATAATCCAGTCTGCTACTCATAGCTGAGTCACAGGGATATTACCACTAATAACTTCTAATTTCTGACACGTATCCTCTCTAACAGCTGAGGTATGTCAGAGTCTCTTTACTGAGGATTACACTTTGAGGCAAATATGCAAATACACCATTACCTTTGTCAATTTACAATTAAGGATCATGTTGTCTGAAGATGATTTGAGGGAAAGATAGAGTATATGAAGGTATAATTGGATTTTTTACTAACATAAACACAAGTCAATAAGCACAACTGCTTGAATTTGAAGTTCTGTGCGCTCTAACGTGGAGCAAAAGTAATTTGTTTCTCTGTACAGCCATGTCAGATATCAGAGAGCCTTTTTGACCAGTCAAAAGAGTTCGTCTGGACCCTGTCCGGGTCCATCATTTTCCCCAAAGTCCCAGCTGAGATGAATCCATGCCCACTCCCGTATGACAAAAGCCTGAAACGTAGGCTATATGACAGCTACAGAAGCTTTGAGAGTACCGACACGGGGCACTGAATTTGAGGAATTTACTGTTTTTCAGAGTGTTCATTAAAGAAAAACATTAATCCTCTGGAGTAAAGCTATGGAACAGTCTCAGTGTGGAACTAAAGCAATGTCCAAACATAAATCAGTTTAAAATTAGGTATAAGGATATGGTTTTCTCAGGTTACAGGGATGAAGAAGGGGGTAAAGCATTTATTTTCAGTTTCGTTGTTGTTTTTTTTATTATTTCATTTTACGAGTTGCTGAAATTCATTCTTTCCTTTTATGTTCATTTTTTCCCCTTTCTTTTTTAAAATAATTGATGTACATTTTGAATTGCTTTTGGGTATGACAAAGTAGATGTGTAAATATTAATTTAATATTAATTAATATTTATTGATAATTAAGTTGATTATTTATAAGCATTTGATTTGTGGACACGCGGTGGGATTAAATTAAGTTTTTTCCCCCCCTTCTTCCCACTCCTTTTTGAATATGTAAAGAAATGTACAAGAATTTCAACAATTTCTTTGGCTGTAACTATTGTTATTGTTATGTATTTATTTATTATTGTGCTATTTTATAATTTGGATTTGTTTATTTGATTGCATTTCCTTGTCGGATGTTTCTGTTTATATATTTGAAATAAACCTGTGAAAAAATTATAAAAAAATAAATCCTGAAAGACTACGAGTTAAAAGTTAAGGGTTCTCTGATCTCAGAACAGTGCCCATCCCAGGCTCTACAGATCACAGACAAATCATTTTTGCTCCACTTTTCATTGAAATATGTGGTGCATAAGTGAGAGTTTGTGAACCAAAACATTTTGTGAGAAAATATTCTACAGGTCTGCAACTCTCATTGTATGAATTCACATACGGATTTGCAGATGTGAAGTTTACAAATTTTATAGCATTTTTTTCAAATTTACCGATACCCATGTGTGACTATTTTCTACAACCACAAATTCCACCGTCACAGGTGCTCAGTTGTTTTGCTTCAATAATACCTTTATAAATGAGGCCTGTGACGTTGACAGCTGGCACTGACCTTGTTTTCACCCATACTGGTTACAGTCAGATTAGAAAGCTGGCTGGACACTAATACTACCGGCATGTGCCATCAGTAACGCCAGTGTTGCCAATACTACTGTGCATGTGTTATATGTATTGTGTACACCACAAACAAACAAGATGCAGAGACTGCAGGAGTTTGCCTTGCCTATATAAAGGAGTTGCCAAATTTGAGGCTTATCAACATGGGCTCAGAATTCTAGCTTGTAAAAACATGCTGCTGCTACACGTCTAGACTGCTGGGAGACTTCCCATGATGCACTGAGGTCCTGTATGCATTCTTCTCCCATTAATGTTTATTACTAACTTCCCTCTCCCGTAGTTCAGTGCTTTCCGTGTTGTGCATTGTGCTACTGTGTTCGCTTTCCTCCCAGTCACAAAATTATGGATCCCCTGCAAACACTGTGACAACCAGTGTGCCACAAGCGCTGGCAACTGGCAGCAGCCGATAGCTCCTGCAAACTTGTTGTTGTTGTTGTTTTTTATCTGTTTTTTCCGGCTTTATAGCAAAAACGTGATACCTCTGAAATAAATACAGTCATTGGAAGATGAAGACGGGGTTTTTGGAATAAAGAGCAGCAGACCACGATCCACCCGGCCCAAACAACCGGACCAGGCCCCACAGCGGGTGCGGTGATCGCTCAGAGGAGAGGAAAGAGAGCCAGGAGAGGAGCCATGCTGGCCCAGCTTGGACTGTTCTTAAAGAGCTGGTCTGGACAAAATGGGACTCATGTTAACCAAGCACTGGAATTCAGAGACTTTTGTGCCCACATCGTTACAGAGTCCTGTCCCATTAACATCCGGGATCACGCAGGTGGTCCATGTTCTGAGCTGTCAGTGCAAGACTTCAGCAAGTTGAGAGGAAGTGGACGGGGTGTATACGTGCATGTATATATGTATATAAATAACTGTATTGTTTTATTTTATTTTATTTTATTTTATATGTTACCATATTTTAATATAGGCCTACACTTAATTACATGTTGTGTGTGTAGCACGAAGGAACTACAAATTTCGTTTAGTTATGCAGCCTTGTGCTGTATTATGACTTACAAACAACGTTGTACCTTGTATGAATGTGCTGTATGGTATACAGAGACATTTACTTACTTTGCTTCTTCATCTCTGGCTATGAGAAGGCGCATGTGATTGGTTGCCGAAGCTGCTCTCAAGACGTCCACAGCTCTGTTAATATATATATAATACAGAGACAGAACACACATTTCCATTAGTGTTACAGGATCACCTCTGTCAACCATGTGGTTAAAACAATGACAAAAGCAATGAATCCTGACTGGACTACCTTTCACTTGTGACTCCTACTAGACTGTCCCCGTTAACCTCCAAGATCTGGTCCCCTGGCATCAGGTTTCCTGTAAGAGGTCAGAGAAAGGTCAGGTGATCTTTAGTCCACAATGGAGGTATCAGCTACAAGAAGAACATGAAATACAATATATAGTTAGTACACAATGGTGGGAAAATATTTCTATTTTTCAAGGATGAGGACGGACCAAGATAACAGAACCAGAGGATTCTTTCTGTGGGGCTTAAAGCTCCGCAACATCAGAGAGAAAGTAATCGTCATCATTGTCAAGATTCCTTCCAGAAAAAGTCAGCATTGGAAGATATTTCACACCACAGTTGGTAAATTTTTCCACACCTGCATGGCTTCCAATGGATCCGGCCATGACTACAATACTGAGAGGAATCCATATCATAGTGGCTTAAAGCCATCCAGTGGAACTGTGGAGTGATATACTGTAGATGGAGGTATGTCTGGTGATCATAGCATCATGAGCATTCAATACTGTGGACATGCAAGCAAGTGTGCTGCAAGAATTACTAGTATACTTGTTACATTTTTGTTTAATTTTGTATTTTGTCCACCCTTATTACTAAAACATGTGTGATTACGATTACTTATGACAGAAATACACTTATCAAAATCAGAAAAGTAAGTGGAGGGATTGGACTGAGTGCGGCGGCCTTTGAGACAATCATTGCTCACAGCATCTTCCATCCAGACAAACAGACCAAACGTCACAGGAGGTTGTGTGATCAGACCAGGAACAGAGGAAAGCTAGCAGGGATAAAAGCTAAGCTAACCCAGGTCAGACCTAAGGCTATTCCACTACCCGGTATAAGCAAAACCATTTGGGTCCATCAGACCATATTTCTCTGCTCCTCCAATTTGGGTTCAGGAGGCAGACACCATCTCCACAGCTTAGGACTGCTGGGAGACTTCCCAGGATTCTTCTTAATACATGTTACTAACTCCACTTCTTCCCTCTCCCGTAGTTTTGTCCTTTCTCGTCTCTCTCGTCTCTCCTTCTGTCCCTTTCTGCAGGTGATTCTGGCTCCGGACCCAGCGAGTCTGGATCTGTGGTTGAATGCCTGACACCCACTGCTACAATTATTATTATTAATCCTCTTATTACTATCATTAGGGGTCCAAGCCCGAAGTGGGCTGGGAACCTGCGAATGCAAGGCATCGCGGTTCCCAGTACCGCAAAGCGGCTGGGAACCCTATTGGAATCGCTCTCGTTTTGATTATTATTCTTCCATGAAGAAAACTGATACTGCGGCCTACACGGTAAGTGCTACAGACGCGAAACTCACAGGGTAGGTCCAGGTCACCGCAGCGACCGCAGGCGCAAATATTTGCACGCCTCTACCTCTAGGGGGTGCTATAACAATTTTTTTGTGTTTGGGCTTGGAACTCCCGCCTACGAAGGCGCATTTCAAAAACCTTATATCGCGTTCGGTGGATCCTGCTGAATCTCGTGGTATAGGCCACGCCCATTTCCGCCTAGACTTTTTTTTTGCGAAAACTGCAAAACCTATTTTAATTAACTTCTCCGAAGCAGCAAGTCCGATCGACACAAAATTTGACACAGACCATCTCTGGACTAAGGTAATACAGGCTTGTGCTCCCCAGATTAATATGTGAAAAACCTTTCCAGTTATAGGCTAACAATTGTTTACGCAAAACATTAGTAACAGGAACTGATGTCATATCTTCGGTTTGGAATGGCCAATCAACACCAAACTCATCGACTCATTCAATCTCTTCCAAGGTTCATCTCTCCTGAACATTCAAGAACAATTCACCTGACAAATCCTCTGCCTCAAAACAAGCAGCCGATTACAAAGCTCCAGCAATCAAGGAGAAGGTAAAGGACTTACTTTTTACAATACAGACAATCCAGCAAAACTATTCAACACTCAGAGTTCCGTCAACACCAGCTCTCTTCTCCTCCTTCACTCCTTCAGGATTGGAGTTGCCACCTCAGTCTCTTAATACAGTTAATATAGATCATGAGCCGCTGGTCCTCCCAAGCGTACCACCGCTACACTTGTTCAGATCTCAAAGTTCTCAGATCCACTCAACTTTCTCTCAAATAACTGGAAGGTTTTGGGGGGTCTGTCAACCCCGTGTGCTACGTTGGATTCCCAAAAACCAAAGCTGTACAGCAAGTCCAAGCCTCACACACAATCATTTCGTTTCTTCAATACATCATTTAAACAAATCTTTTGTTGGTGTGATCCTTGCAAGTGAATTTGAGCATTTTAGCAGAGTTTCAGGAGCAGGGTCACACCTCAATCATGCCACTCCCGGCATTTCCATAAATACCCACCTAACCCATCTCCTCTGCTTTGCTTTCATTTTCCGCACCTCACCCCCTTCTCTATCTTGTTTTCTCATCTCCTTTTTCCTCTCCGTAGGATTATGTGGGGCTCCGTCATGCCTGAGTGGTACGCTGGATTTCCCACAGTAGCAAACCAAAGCTGTACAGCGAGTCCAAGTCAATCCTTAGGAACAAAACAGACACTGCTAACTCAATGGGGACCACCAGAAGCATTCCAGTGGGACTCTTGTACATCATCTTCAAGTGGTACGCACTTGTCATAAACCATCACCTTAAGATTTCTGCTGGTACACTATAAAGACCCCATCCTATCAGGCGTTTGATGTCAGATTCAGCAACCCTTCACAGAATCCCAAAGCTGTTACCTAAAAAATTCCATTTATTAATCACACTTCATCTGATTTGCAAATGAGCACAAGTACAGACCTCAGTGAGTTCATACAGGGACATCAGACCCTTCGCTGGGTGCTATTAGGACAATCACAAGTAGAGCGCAGATGTTCTTTTCGTAGTTGAATGTGGAACAGTGATCCATAATAAAACACAATATTCAATTGTCACTTGTAACTGGTTCCAGTAATTCAAACCTAGGCTTCAAAAAACTCCCAGCTGAAATCACACACACTTTAAGTTTTATGTGATAAGCTATAAATTAGCACAGGAGCACTGCAAAGCTGCATCTTATGTTTTATACAGTTTGTACACAAATGAATGCTAGTCCTCTAGCCTACTGGAGAAGAGTTGTAAGATGTAAAGAAACTACATTCACATTATGAAGACCAGATCATCAGAATCAGTTGGACACAGCATTATAATGACCTCATTTTAAATAGATCCATGCCATCTTAAATGACCAAACTCACCCCTTTAACCAGAGTTGGATTGAAGGGGGTATTTTTATTCATGGAGGATGGGTAGTTAGGGTCAGGCTAGCCATTAGGAAGGAGATAACAGGTCACTGAGCCAATAATGTATAGTTTATTCGGTACTGTTCCTTTTATGTATTGTTTTACTTTGTCCATTTCTTACTGCCTCTGTGTTCTTTTTGGACCGCTGACTTCTTTAAATTTGAACTGAAGTAATAAAAGAAGGTCCGGGACATTACACAAAAAAAAAAAGTATCATAAGAGGGTACAATACTTACCATCACTTGAAGCAAGGCCACCTGGTAAAATCCGTTTGACGTAGACTCCAAACTCCTCTCCAGTTTGCTCCTTCACTCCACCAATCACTTTAATTCCTGTTGGGAGAAAAATCACTTTTTCTTTACATTTTTCAATTTTCTTTCTGTTCAGTAATTTTGCAATCAATTAAAGAGATCAATGACAGTGACCAGAGAGAGTAATTAATTTCTTCTTGCCTAACTGTGTTCAGGAGAACATTTGATCAAGACTTAATTTCATCTCAAATTTCTCCCTACTCTTGACCACACAGCAGGAAAAATCAACTACTATCCAGGTGCCTTTTCACTAATATCCCTCTATTGAATTTTCCTGCTTCTGACAGCATATACCGTATCACTGAAACCACCAAGTACATTATAAAGTCCTCAGGACAAGTAAGTGGTTTCTTCAGATTAAGCTTACAATGGTGTAACTTTAACTAAGAGCTCAGTTAGATTGAGTCAACCTCTAAGTCACCACTACATTACTACACTATTTCAGGTTCCACAGTAAAAAAACAACTGTAAACTCCAAATGGAACAAATGCTAATTACAGTACATAAATGAATAATAATAACTTGGTACAGATGGGATTTTAAATATTGTGACCTAGGGGGAGTGAAGGGAAGGTCATTATTCAGCAGCTGCTAATTTATTAGCATATAGCTGAGAATAGGAATGAGAGGGTCGTATAAGTCAGCTCTCCAATCATTCTTGGATTTCAAGGGGCACAAATGTGTTACTTCACGGCAGATATTTAGAAATGATTCAATATTCTGCCATTTATATACTTAGTAGCTTCTTATTTGTACAGTTGTTGTCATTTGAAATGGATGTGTATGACAAAGAAGTCTTTGTGGGTCCCACCTGCAACTGTGTACACTATTTCAGTGAGATGTAGGGGGCTGCAACACAGACCGTTGGCTCAGACAGACTACATTTGTAACGTTACAAGACTTTTTTTGTGTACCGTTACCCTCCCACCTCTCCCAGGCCTCGTTACTCACAAAATGACGATGAGCATTCTGACCGTTTCAGGTTTATTTGCATCAAGGTGAAGAACTTTTAACTTAAAGGACTTTTATTCACAAATAACTTGACAACATTAATCAGGTTTCTGAATTTTGTTATGCTTTACTCCTCCCAAGGCGCCTGTCATTCTTTACCTATCAGACTTTTACTTACACATGTCCTGACCATGTTCTGTTCCCATGATCCAATATTTATGTTTAGTTTTTTTATTCGCCATTTTCTACATAATAAATTATACAGTACACATTTAAGAGAGGTTTATAGTGGTGATTTAAGGGGTTACAGTGCAGCTACAGTGGCTTGTTTGATAGTGAAGACAACATTAGGAAGTTAACAAAAGACTTGGTATCTGCTACCTGCAGTAAGACAATTGACAAAGACATCTCCGCTGCAAACCTTCTGCTCACAACGATCATAGCTCTCTGCCACAGTGAATGACAGAACATGGACACAGTGTTTGTACAGCAGAAGCCTCATAACTAGCAAAGAGGGGGCTGTTGAGCTACTAACCTCATAATTTAGCATTTGTACAGGCTGGGTTTTGTGCAGAACTCAACAGCTTAAGCCAACAACAGACTACTACAGAACTGGGGACAGCCCAAATCAGTGCTGAACAAAACATACATTCATTTTCTGATTTATGCATTGAAGTGCAGTTGAACAGTGATGCAATGACTTAACTTAGAAAGAAAGCGGACAAACTAAAATATTAGTGACAAAAAACGAAATGATTCAAATAAGCAAAATGATTCGTGATATTCATTTCTAGTAAGTAGGGTGACCAGACGTCCCGAAAAATCCGGGAAAGTCCTGAATTACGAGCAGTTGTCCCGACCCCTTTCCGGTTTGTCCCGAAAATTACACCTAACATGAGTTTTGATCATAGCCTAATTAAACATTAAATACTGATCAGTGGATAGTTCTCTTGCTCCAGCAGGGGTTGCAGGTCATCTGTACATTGTGTCAACAGCGTTGTTACAGCCACAAAGTAACACTCGTCGTGCTTCTTGTGGTTAGTGGAAGTTACAGTCACGAGGACAGGGAAAGTGTAGCTTCAGGCAGCCACAGCACAGTAGAGAGATTTGACGTTGCGCAGACAGATGTGAGGTGTGATGTGATATGATGACATGAATAAAATAAATATAAAAATTAGGTAAAAGATCATCCAATTGATTACCAGTAGTAGCCCCCCCTCACAGTCTGTATTCAGACTGAAAGATCAAGCGAGCTTTTGCCCTTCTGCTCCACAGGAGGTTTCTGTCCTCCCTGAGCTCGCCTTAAGACACCTGCGTTACCATTTGACAGGTGTACCGCCCCAGTCAAACTCCCCACCTGCCACTGAGCGGGTCATGAAATGCATCCATCTCGTGGTAATGTGGTGCTATCTGACGCTGAACTATAAATCTGAATCTACATCAAAGGTGTCTGTGGTGGGACTTCTGTTAACCCAATTATAAACGCAGCTGAACAGAACACACTAACCGTTTCTGTTAGTTCTTCAGATTCCCTGCGTTCCATAATGCTAATACTTGTAGTGAATACATTGTAGTGACTGAAGCCTAGCAGGTAAAATGTCCCATATTTAACCATTAGATAAGGGCCTCAGTTGGCCTCTTACCACAGAGACAAAATGGTAACACTAACTGGGTCTGCAGCAAAGTCGCGCATGTTAATTACCGCCTGTTGGAAGAATGTGGTTATAAAGTTCTCTGTCTCTGTCTCCCACCCCTTCTTTTTCTTCTCTGAGGAAAACACTATCTTGTTCTTATGCTCAGCTTCAAAGTATTCTCCTCACCCCGACTATCATCTGATAAGAATAAGATCATTCTAAAGCAAAAGCAGCTGGAGCAAATATAAAAGACTTGCCTCTGTCCCTGATGTTCAGCTTCACATTTTGTTTTCCAAATGATTATTTCCCACTGAATTAAGGATATCCTTGCCTCACAAGGATTAAATATTCAAATACTTGTAAAGATCGTAACAAGAAATGTAATGAAAAAGGCACTTAAAATGGTTTATAATACCTCAGATGATACATGAACATAAAAAATGACATGTCATAGCCAAACAGAGGACTGAAAACGGCTTCTTTAAAGCCCACTCTGTAGACAAAATTTACTGTGTTGGAGATGATGTTCACTATGAACACTGTACCCTGTACACAAGCACACAAGCTGAGGTGTTCCAGTTTTCAGCTTCATTAACACAGAGATTTGCATGTGCTGTTCAGACAGCAGGAGTAGGACAACATATACTCCCTCGGCCGCTGTGGAGGTTTCTGATGCGGGTGGGTTGCCTGTTAATCAAAAGATCGATGGCTGTTCCGCCAGTGTATGAATGTGTGCGAATGTCAGTTTCTGTTTGAGCACTTAGACTCAGTGAATAAATGTGTGTGAATCGTGAACGCTTTGAGTGGTCGAAAAGACTAGAAAGGCGTTATAAAAATACAGAGCATTTACAGTAAGGGGGTCTTTAGGATTTGTGTCTTGGAACAGTGTGTGCACATGCTCACGTTGGACGACTATAAGCTGCTTTGCTTCTCACCTGGTGCTGCTTTAAGTGCGCACACACACACACACACACACACACACACACGCACACAGACACATGCCTGTATATGTCTTTTATTCTTCTTCTTCTCTGTATGTGTCTTTGTTGCTCACCTGTAACTCAAAAACCATTTGAGCTACATATAGTAATAACAATTTTGGTGTGTAATTTTTTTATGTTGTGCCCTGTGTTTTCATTAAAAATACATGTGCATATTTAATGAGATAAAAACATCGTGAGTTAACGAGTTTTATATTGAATTAAAGTACTATACATGGAGTCTTCTGCATCTGTGTACAGTCCAACTCCATATAGTATATTAATTCCATAATGAATTAATGTTTAGGAAGTCAGTAGTTATGAATAGTAGTCTATTATGGCCCATTGGATCACATTGGATTTATAATTCAGCATTGGTATAACGTACAAACCTTCTACATTCTTTAATGTCTAAAGCCCCATTTACTCATTTTGGATTTATTACTCAGCCAATACATTAAGGTCAGTGAGTTGTCATGCGATTATAAAGTCATCCAAAAATCATGCTAACCTGCATAACTGTGCACAGCTATCACACACATTTTCTTCAGGAAATGTTTTTTTACTTCTTTTAGAGATGTATCCATGTTTGTATGGCAGGAATAATTCACAAAAATTAAAGGGGCACTCAACAAATTGTAAACAGGAGTATAGTCTCCTTGTCACGTGCAATGTTCTCATCATACGGGATGGGTGGTAGAAATTGGGATGATTACCTTGTTTACAACATAACAATCATTCTAGGTGGATGTATAATTGCAGAGTTGGTCATGTGAGATTTAAAAAATACTGATGATATAAAACTATATTTAACTTATGTAATGTGGGCTATATTTCTAACTGCAGAGCTGTTTTTTAAGTCTTTTGTTAACTTCCTAATGTTGTCTTCACTATCAAACAAGCCACTGTAGCTGCACCGTAACCCCTTAAATCACTACTATAAACCTCTCTTAAATGTGTACTGTACAACTATATTTAAACTATATAATGCAGGAATTCATAAAATATATATTATAAAATAAAAACTCAATTAAAACATTCTTGTACATCCATTTCCAATGAGCTACAGTTCAGTTTTAAGTTGATTTGAATGCCTTTAATGTACTTACACTTATGTAAAGCACCTCTGCTTGAACAGGATATTTTACAGCTTGACTGTAATTGTATTCATGCAAACAGGCTGTTCGTCCTTGCGTAGGCATAAGCTCCAGCATGGTGGTATACAAGTGAAGTAAGGAGAAAAACAACAGCAGCTCCCCACATTCTTAACCCAGCTGAGTTAAGTGGGTTAGGGCTTTGCTACATGACCTACTTCCACTCCCAGGCAAACACACAAGGATACCTACTCTGCAGAGAAAAGCCCTTTAAAAGTAGGATTTAAATTATTGCAGCTATGCAAAATCAGGCTCCATTGTCAGATAGTGGAGGATGATTGAATAGGGCAATACATTATGTTGTGAATGTGTATAGCTCTATGAATGTGATTTGTACTGTTTTCCTTATGATGGGTAATTTAAAATGGTAGACTTTTACCCCAAAGAAGTGCGATAAACTCGCAAGCTAAAATGTGCTGCTACAAATAGCTACAGCTGCAATACCGGGAGCACAAAAGACTAAATAACAGGCCACCAGACTCAACAACAAGGTGTCTCTCTCAGTGGGGACACCACAAATGTTTTAGCTTCTTTCAGCCCATTGTTTTGATTTAACCACTTTAACCAACAACTTTATAGTTTGGTTCGATTTCAACCTGCTTTCCAGCGGCAGCAGGAAGCGGTTTCCAGTAGAAAAAGCTACAGGACTAGTGAACAAGATAAATGCTTCTGTCCCTGTTTGTATTTTATGGGCCAGAGGTATTCAAACCCAGCAAGACTTCCTAGTAGGCTAACGACATGTTAAGGCTCGAATATACTCTGGAGCGGATGCATACACGGACAGCTGCGGCCACGGACTACGTCTGCTTGGTGGACTCGTTCCACTCTTGCGCGGTAGATCGGTTGGTGCCCTGGTAGTGTAGTCTCCCCTTTTTTTATGGCCATGCAAAACGGGTGGCACGTGGATGTCCGCACAGAGCCTACGTCACGCAGACCCTTGCGGATTCGGAAAGTATTGCTTTAGACACACAGCACTGAAGGCCAGATGATGTCATACAGCTCAGCTTTACGTTTGCTTTTTTATTACACAAATAATGTCATATACTGTATATACCCCAGTGAAATGTCAGGAGGGTATAAAGGTATGAAAAATCCTATAAATATACCTCCAAAGCAACAATAAGAATATAGGCATACTCAAATATTGAATATATTTGAAGGGGCAGTATGTAGTTTTCAGCGGCCACTAGCAGTGCGGTTTTAAGATTGCAACCAGGCGTGTGCTTGAACTCATGAGTGAGCATAATCCGAAACACAACCGCTTTCATACAGCGATAAACGGAACCCCTGAAATGCCGACTATGGCTTTTCTCCAGACATTTTCAGGCTCCATTTCTTCAACGTTCCCGGCTCAGAGGCAGATCAAAACCGGCTATGTACATTTTATACAACGCAGCGAGCCGACATATTGGCACCACATTCCTGGAAAAAAAGGCAGTGTGAAAGTGGCTGTAGACAGACAGGGAGACTGCTTCACACAACATGCTGGAAACTCCGGTAAACTCCTACTGCAACATACCAGTAATATTTTTATCAGCTAGACGTTGAACTAATCCATGCTCGTTACTCGATTTACTGTATTTAGCCATAGTCATACATCGTTAGCTTGCCTCTCTGCTTTTCAGTAGCTAACATTACTATCTGTGTGTCTTTCATCGGAGGCTCAGCAATGTGAGCACAGCTCAATGTATTAGATGACTCTTGATGCTCTCTGTGATGCTCTTGCCGTTTTGTTGCATTATTGTATATAATGTGCGTCATGTTAGTTACAGCGACTAAGAGGTGGAGAAGTTGTGTACCTGAGTATCGGTAAAACCACAATAAATCTAAATTGAACGTTACGAAGCAAACAGCAGCAGGTCCAAGCTAAGTTAGCGGGCTGCCCTGCCTGCATCACTATAGGCTAGTAAACAAATCGCTCCAAATTGCTTTTTACTAAATCAACACTTTGACATAATACCGGTGTTACACAGGATAGTAATGTGGGTCGTGTTAGCTGATGAAGTAATGTGGAAAGCTACACAACTTCAACTGGATAACGTTAGCAAATACTTGGCGTTAGCTGGCAAACTTTACTATATCCATGACTCCGACCTTTCTGATGTTCACTGTGTTTTCACTTAAAATCATCTGAATCTTGTTTAGTCTGACGGGCTTTATCATATAAAACTTTCTTGTTGTTTTGTATCCTTGCGTGGAGTTTGTGTTGGAGTCTGTGTTGTGCAGGGAGCCAGTTGTTTTGTTTTATGGTGTTGGTGGACTGCATGTTGTTAGCTGTGGTGTTAGCTGTAGTCGGAAAGAGGCTCGGGAGTGCACAGGCCTACATCCAGACCCAGTGTCCTCACATTAAAAACAGCAGAGTGGCTGATGCAAGTAACAGAGAAAACAGGTGTGTTTCATTTCTAAGTGAGGTACGAGCCCACTGACAAATGGTAGTAGAAATTTGATTTATTAATAAGTGATTTCACTGAAAAACTATATCTAGCCCCTTTAATAGACAAAGGATTATGATCACTAACAGTGTTGCCAACATGGTCAGAGAAGGGAGAAGGTGGTTTAGGACCACTCCACAGACCACTATATAACTGGTCTGGAACACTTGTTTCAGCAACCCTAGTGGCAGTAACCAGTGATCCATGTTCGTGACTATGGTCAGTGGACAGACAACTGACAGACCAAACCCCCTCTCCAGATTTGTCTAATAAGCAACTCCTGTTGTCTGAAAGCACTACAGATTATTTTTAGTGTGAGGATAAAGTACCGACAGGAGTATTTTGTCATAGCATCTGTTCAGTTTTTGTGCCAAATTCAAGATGTTTTAGTTGACCATGGAGGATTTGTGGATTTGTATGGCTAATGATGTGGTTAGGTGTTCATTTACTGTGTGCCATTTACATGTTGTCCTTGTATCAGAGTTGGTTTCCTCTGAGTGCTCCAGTTTTCTCCCCCTGTACAAAGACATGCAGCGAAGGTGAATTGGAGTAAGTTTTGTCTGTGTGTGTTGGCTGTGAGATAGACTGGCAACCAGGAAGTACTCTGTCTCTCACCCTGTGAATGCTGGCATACGCCCCAGCCCCTGACAAACACAAACTGTATTAACAGCTACAGAACACAAACAGTGGAGAGGACATAGTACCGGCAGGAGACAAAGTTTCTACATATTTGTGTTGAGAAATCTTTGCCGGGACAGAAATATTTCCTTCTATCAATGGTTACTGAAGATAAAAAAAAAAAAAACTACTTACCCAGGCCATTCTCACAGTCTGTAAATTCCATGGAATGAACAGCTCGATCTACTCCGTATGGACCCATTAGTGTCCTGTTAGAGATAGAGGGATGAGGAGGATGGCGAATAGAGGGATAGAGAGACGGACAAGAGCAGATAATAAGTACATCACAAACTTAACTTTAAGCTAAAACTACTTTTCTACTCATTTTACTTCCATAGATTAGACTCTGTCCTTCAGTTGCAAAGCTACACAGACTATGGCTACATGAAAAGAAGCTCCTGAGTGGAATTTGTCTTTGTGAAGAATACAGAACTGTCTGTCTCAGAGAGTTTCTCCAACAGCTCACAGGTAGGAGACCGGAGACACTTGAGATACCTTGTTCATAGCTGCCATCAAAGACAAACGCAGCAGACATTTACTTTAAAAATAGTGTCCTTCATACACCATGTGACTAGAGTTGCAAAGGGGCGGTAAATGTTTTCCAAGGGAAATGTTCCACAATTTCAATATAAAACTTTTCCACTGCATTCAGCAGCACATGTACAGATAATTTGCCAGCATCCCATTAAATAGAAATTCAGTCAAACTACAACCCTGTGCATGCACAGTGCATTTTCTTATCACAAGAGCCCATAATATTGCCAACACTACTGCACTGAGTGAGCCAAAGGATTACATTATTTCAGGTAAGTTTGATTATATTGTTTTTAACTGTTTAAGGTGTTAAGAGACCTGAAATCACATGTTACGTGGCCAGAAAGACTGGACAGCAGAACATACAGGTGTCGAGCCGAAAAGTGATCGTCTGCTGAAAACTGATTGCCGTGCGCGGTAGCGCGCGCAGCATGTTAAAAGTTGTATCGCCAAGTCTCTTTACATCTACAGCTGCTTTTATCTGGATCAAACAGACATAACGTGCAAATAAACATCACTTTATGTCCGTGGTAATACTTTTACGTTTCTTTTAACGCAATAATCACAATTGTGGCATAATAGGCCAAGTGTTTAGCATAGGCAGTTTATAGCATAGGCACGACATTTACGTGATTTTAGGCAATAACAGAAGCCTTTTGTTGCCGATGGAATATGTGTTCGGTAGGCTTATGTCTAATATCCTTGTTTATATTTGGAAAATCGAATGTAGTCTATAATTGACATGACTTACTGCTGAATTATATATAAAATAAAGACATGATCTCTTTTGCAATTATCCTTATGACTATTGCTATATACCAACCAATCCAGTAGCCTACTTTCTACCTGTTGAAATACCTTTAAATGGCCAACCTGTGTAATGCAGTGTTAGCATTAGTATTTGCGAAAAACACTATAAACAGGAAATTATTTCATATCTTCGCTTTGGAATGGCCGATTGACACCAAATTTGGACCAATAATGTAGGACACCCCCCTGAGGGCCTGTGCAAAATTTGGTGCAACTAGCCCCTAGGTGGTACTATTTAACACAAAAAATTGTGTATAACCAAAAGTGACATTAACCTGAAACCTCAGCCGAAGTATTCAGCATGGTCCCTTCACTACAGGCACCAAAGTTGACCCAAATATGCCCATAGGTGGCGCTGTTATTTCACATTAAATACATACAAAAAAATCCCATTGACTTACATGCATTTTATATCTCCATAACCACAAGTCCGATTGATACCACATTTGTTCTCCATGGGCCCCTGAGGACACCTGAAAAATGTGGTGCAATTCGCACTATAGGTGGCGCTATAATTTAAGCTCAAATACCATCGGAAGATCCCATTCATTTCAATGGGATTTTGAACCAAAGGACATTTGCTAGCTACCACCATTAATTAATCTATATCTTGTATATATTTATTGTAAAACTTATTTTATAAATTAGGTGTTCACTATAAATCCATATATAAAACTATTTTTGTATTTATGTTTTTTATTTTTCAATGAAATGTATTTTTATAGCACCTTTCAAAACCAGAGTTACAAGGTGTGTCATAAATAATACCATACAAGAGAATTATAGAGAAATAAAGTAAACAATTTAAAATAACATCATACACAAGAAGTGGTCAAACACAGAGATAAAATAACAATATCAAAACATTTAAATAGACATTTTAAAAACTTTCTCTGTCTGTACAGGTGGGATTTGAAAAACCTTTTTAAACTGAGTCACTGATTCAGCTGATCTGAAATTGAGGGAGAGTTTGTTCCACAGCACTGGAGCTAAAACAGTAAAGCATGTCCCCCGGGACAACATTTGATTGCTTGCTCTCTGAGGGGTCTCGGAGGCAAGTGTTTCATGTTAGTGGTTTAAGGTGGGGGGTGACACTGTTCAGTCTCATCTGTGTTCAGGAAGTTGGAAGCCATCCAGTTCTTAATGGCAGCAAAGCAGTGCAGATTGTTACGATTTTCAAGGCTAAATGAAACGTACAACTGGGAGTCATGGGTGAACAGATACAAACTGTACAAAATAGGGCCAAGGACTGCGCCCTCTGGGAGCCCATATGGCATGAGAACAGCTGAAGAACTAAAGTTCTCAACAGTGACTTTGAATACTGATAAGTAAGATGAAAACCAGTTTCACATAGGCCAACCCAGTCAGTACCTGAGACTGTTGAGTTGAACTGTATGCTCAATCCTATTGAAAGCTGCAACCAGGTCCAGCAAAATGAGAATATCTAGATAACTTAAATACGCTCAGCTCTTCAACACTCTCTTTTTGTTATCTAATATTTTCATTCATCTGAGGCCTTGGTTTGGAGTGGCGACATAACCTAGCTTTCATAGGCAGGGTTCAACATAAGCAATGGCCTGATGACCCGGGCCCAGTAAAAATGTATGTTGGGCCAGCAAGTCGCTGGCCAGTTCGGGCCAGTTGGCAGTTGCTCTGTCAATATTGCAAGTCAGCTGCCTCGCTGCCTGCGTCCTACGTTGTCTCCAAAGGCAACACTGTAACTGTTGGGTGTCTAAGTTAAAGTTCCCCATGTCCCCCGTCTGCTCTGCCTCGACTCTCTGTGATTTACGGACTTTGACGATGATAACGTACATTCAGTGCTATTCATAGTTTTCACGTGACGCCATACTCCAATGAAAACACTCCCTTGGAGGGCATAAAGACGTTAATTTCCGTTGCCTGCCAACCAATATGCAAGTAATACACTTTTACTTTCAGTTTGTTACTTTTTGCGTTGCCAAAATGCTGGATGGTTGTTGTGCTTTCGGATTTACTAATCCAGGAGACAAGCCCGAGCTGTGTTAGGTTAGGGATTCCCCAGAAGGTAAAAATAAACATTACCGCAGTCGAGCTGCGGCAGGGAGCTGGCAGTAGAAATGCTGCAGCAGATGCTGTAACGTTATATGGATCAGATATGCATGACACTTGCAGTTTGTGTTCATATCTTTTTCTTAAGTTGAAAGGTGATCCAAATAAAATTTTAATGGTAATGGTCTCCACGGGGGAGTCGCGGTGTGAGCCGCTATGTTGGTCGTTGTTTTGCCCTCCAGGTCAATCAATCAATATCTGCAACAAGTCCCTCCCTGTCTTTGTGTTTAAATGTGCATAAGTAAATAGCACATTAATGGGAAAATCAAATCAAAAAATGTAAAATCTTTAAAATGTTTACCATCTTCATGTTTACAGTCTTTACCAGCAATCTCTTAATTCTAACCAAAGCTACGAGAAACCATTTCTGAATCCCCACCTAGTCTCAAACATGTCGTCTATGATACAGTGACACAGAGGAGCTGCAGCGCGCCCTCTGGTGGGCAAACTATGCAACTTATGACCTGAGGGAAGGATCCAACTCTCGGTTTCTTTTTTAATAGTAATATATCGGTGCAGATATATCTGCAAGTAACTTATATCAGCCAATAATATCTGCAAAATGATAAATCGGTCGGGCTCTAGTTTTTAGGATACAGTATCTAAACTAACGGGGAATCAGTAAGAGTTGAGTTTGCTAGAATAAAACAACAAAGTTAAGTCACTAAAAAGCATCTTGGTCAGTGCTCACACACTGTACAGTGGGTAATCTCTAGTAGATGAGTTTGGCAGAAATGACTGTAGTCTTACGCAACGTTGCTGCACAAGAACTGCCCCCTCTGGCTTTGCCCAATTTTCCTTATTCCTAATCCCTCTAACATTGGCTCAAGCAGACATTAAAGAACATCCAGTTGCTCAGACTTTAAACTACAAAAGATGGTGTAAAATACTGGAGATGAATAAGACAAACCAGTGCACACTTATATATCGGTTATATCTCTTATATCTGTTATCTGAAAATGAAACGTTATCTTCTCAGAAATGGAATTTCCAGTTTCCTTGTGTGGTTGCTACAAGGAGTATTTTTTCAGCTGCAGCAGGTTCATCAGTAGCAACCTGACACTCCCACTGCTATCAGTGAAACATTGAGGCAAATTGTGGACACACTGAACTTTGTCAGACCAATGAGGAGGCCTTCAGAAGCCGTGACAGAGTCCTGTACAACCAGGCCAGGAACACACTGACTAAAGAGTTCAAAGCAGCAAAGAGAAGCTACGCTGAATAGTTAGCAAACCTGTGTCAGTGTGGAGAGGCCTGCAGACACTCAATAACTACAGGAGAGCATCCCCCAACACTGCTGGTACTCAACAACTGACTGACAAGCTGAATGGTTTCTACTGTAGGTGTGAGAAGCCCAGTCACACCTCTCCCCCGCTCCAACACCATCTTCAAGCAATCACCTTCCCCTACTGCCACGCTGTCAGCCCCCTTCTCTGACCCCTCACCTGCACTCACAATCTGTGAAGAGGACGTGAGCCACCTCTTCCAAAGGCAGAAGATCAGGAAGGCTCCTGGCCCAGACGGTGTGTCACCATCCTGCCTGAAAATCTGTGCAGACCAGCTGGCCCCCATCTTAACACAGATCTTCAACAGATCACTGGAGCTGTGTGAAGTTCCCTCCTGCTTTAAACGCTCCACAATCATCCCGGCCCCCAAAAAACCCTCCATCTTTGGATCAAATGACTACAGGCCGGTCGCCCTGACATCTGTAGTCATGAAGTCCTTTGAAAGACTGGTGTTGGCCCACCTGAAGGACATTACAGGCCCCTTGCTGGAC